CTGAATTTTGAGCCAACACTGCAAACCAGGAATAAATCACATGTGGTACAGGTGAATGATAATATTGATGTATTATTGGATTTGATTAGCTAATAATTTTTATGATTTTTGTATCTATGTTTATCAGGGAAACTGTTCTATAGTTCTCTTGTATCTTTTCAAGGCTTAGGAATTAATGTAATGCTGACTACATAGAAGAAGTTTGTGAAGATTCCTTTCAATTGCTTTTGAATGGCTTAAGAATAATAAAAATAGTTCTTCTTTAAAAGTCTCCTAGAATTCAGCAGTAAAACAATCCAGTCTAGGAACTTTATAGCTCTTTGAGGTAATTCCTGGTGATATCAATTTTGTTTTTCTAAACACTGGTTCTTCAGTCATTGATCTTATGTATCATTTTTTTGTTTTATTTCTTCTCAAATTTCAAATTTTAATTGTTTTTCTCCTCCATCTTTTTTGAGGTTTGCTTTGTTATTGCTGTTCTAGGTTCTTGAGATGCATGGATAACTCATTTAGTTGGCACCTGTGAAATTTCTTGACATATGCACATCTGTAATAACATCCTCTTAACACTGCTTGTGCTGTATTGAATAAGTATTGATATTATAGGTTGTCATCTTTATTTTTTCCAGAAATTTTTGGATTTCTCTTTGATTTCTTCTATGACCAACTGTTCATTTGGGGGCATATTGTTCAGTTTCCACATTTTGCATATGACCTAGAGATTTTTGAGTTGATTTCAGCTTCAATCTATCGTGGCCACAGAAGATGCATGATAAAATTTTCAGTTTTTTGAATGGGTTCTGTGACTTTATTTTCTTAATTTCCTAATTTAAGAGGCACACACCCCAAATATACACTTAGCTGAGTTTCTACCCCTGGTCACGTCCACAGCGCTTACATGCTTGGTACTAGACTGGACCAAAGTCTGGATACCATAACATGCTACCTCCCAGTCTCTGAATTGGTCAGACTCTGATGTGGGTCTGATGTGTCTACCTGCTAAACACCTGCTTCCCCATGTCTTTTCTACATATCAACACAACTCTCTAAAAATAGTCATATTTTCTGGCACAATAAGTTAATTCATGATATCACCTGCACTTTTCTACTACCAGACTTTGTTTAAAACAGCTGTAACATCACAAATTAATTTTGATTCCAAAGATTTTCTATAATCAATACCACACACACTTATTGGTACATCATGGTTGACATGTGCAAATAACCACTAAGTGAACCAAACCCTGGATCTGCATTAAAATATAGCACTGCTATGCAATGACACTTGTGGAGTTTTTCTGGTGGTGAGTAGACTCAAAAATGGTCAACTATCATCATAAAAGTCAGGACAACAGGATAATGTGTAAAACAGAAAATTTTTTAAAGCTTTATATATTTACTTGAAAGGCAGAGTTAAAGAGAGAGGGAAAAACAGATAGTAATATCTTCCATCTGCTGGTTCACTCCCTAAATGGCAGGAATGGCTAGGGCTAAGTTAGACCAAACTCAGGACTTAGTAGTTTCATTTGGGTCTCCCATATGGGCACAGAAGCCTAATGACTTGGGCCTGCTGCTTTCCCAGGTGCAATAGCAGGAAGCTGGATTGGAAACAAAGTAGTCAGCACATAAACTGGAAACCTTATGGGATTCCAGTGTTGCAAGGTTCAGCTTAACCTGCCATGCCACAATGGCAGCCCCAGAAAACACAGATTTCAAAGAAGGGTGATGCATTTTACAATCTGTAGTTAGGTCCTAACAAAATCTATCAAGTAATCAGGAAAAAAAAAAAGTCGTAATAACTCAAAGTGCAATCAATACAAAGACTGGGGAATAGAGATGGAATACAGTTAGGAAAAATGAATAATACTAATAAAATGATTATCAGAATTTGCGAAATATTATTGAATGGCAAGAATCCCAAATCATTTTGTTGCACTTACATCCTATGCTTGAAAAGATCCCAGTAATATATATTTTTTTTTGACAGGCAGAGTTAGACAGTGAGAAAGAGACAGAGAGAAAGGTCTTCCTTTCATTGGTTCACCCCTCAAATGGCCGGCACACAGCGCCGATCTGAAGCCAGGAGCCAGGTGCTTCCTTCTGGTCTCCCATGCGGGTGCAGGGCCCAAGAACCTGGGCCATCCTCCATTACCTTCCTGGGACAGAATCCGGCGCCCCAACTGGGACTAGAACCTGGAGTGCTGGTGCTGCAGGCGGAGGATTAGCCTAGTGATCCACGGCATGGGCCGATCCCAGTAATATTTTATCATTACAGATGTAATTTTTTTAGTATTAGTTCTACAAAATGGTAATTAAATATTTTACAGGGAAATTTTACTTTACATTTGAGGGTCAACTGAACAGCTTTAATCAGAAATGGAAATTAAGGAGGAAATGAATACTTAACAAGAAGCATACTCAATGATTCAGGAAAAAATATATTTTTGTGAAAAAACTTAAGTTCTAGCTTTGTGACAAGCACTATTCTGTCAAGCACTAACTTGTTTATGAAGTAGTTTTTTTTACGATGATTATTTTCTTTATTTAAAAAACATTTTTTTTTATTTGACAGACAGAATTAGACAGTGAGAAAGATCTTCCTTCCGTTGGTGCACTCCCCAAATAGCTGCTATTGCCAGTGCTGCGCGGATCTGAAGCCAGGAGCCAGGTGCTTCCTCCTGGTCTCCCATGTGGGTGCAGGGGCCCAAATACTTGGGCCATCCTTCACTGCCTTCCCGGGCCACAGTAGAGAGCTTGATTGGAAGAGGAGCAACTGGGACTAGAACCCGGCGCCCATATGGGATGCTGGTGCCGCAGGCAGAGGATTAACAAATGAGCCACGGCACCGGCCCTACAATGATTACTTTCATTATATGCATTTGGAAAATCTTACGCACAGAGGTACATCTTACAAACTATAAAGCTATTCTGTGTTGTAACTTTAAATACAAGTTTTTAATGATGAAGCCTGTAGTAACAACAGCTTCTATGAAAAGAAACAACATGTCAACATGATGAAACTAAAGAATACAGACACTCTTGTGATCACAAGAGATGCCAGTTAACTTAATGAAATGAAGCAGAGTATTCTTCTATGGCAAAAATCACACACAATCTTTGCTTTGAGTCTCAATTGCTGACAATGAATGAGTTAAAATAAGAAATGAAATAACACAGAAATGAGGAATTATCAGAGAACAGGAATTTAGCTTAAAACTAAAGTATTGTGATGCACATTACAATGACTAGGATTTGATTCCTGGCTCCAGTTCTTGACTGCAACTTAATGGGAGGCACCAATGATAGCTGAAGTAGTTTAGCTCTTAGAACTGACATGGAAGACCTAGAATGAATTCCAAGTTCTTGGTTTCAATCTCAGGCCAATCTCAGCTATTCTTGGTATTTGTCACAAGTACTCTCTGCTACTCAAATAAGTAACTATAAAACTAACTAGATTAAAATATCTAACTGGCCCCAATCTAGGCAAAGTTCTTTAATGGAAACATAAAAGTATTGTCTATCTTCAACGTATGCAATCTTTTTCTGTTATTATTCTCCACATAATACAACATAAAATATAATGCAGTCCCATTTACACATAGTTTACATTGCATTAGGTATTATAATTAATTGAGATCATTCAGAAGCACATGGAAGGATATGTGTATATATCCAGAACTTATTTGTTATATCCAAAGAGATCTCTTTATATAAAGAACTTAAATATCTGAGGATTTTGGTGTAATCGAGTCCTGAAATCACTCCCCATACATACCATTTATAAATATAATTCACTTTAATTTTCCCTCTGTTAAAACCAGGCAAGGGAAAACTAATTTGATTACTTAATTGTGAATTTTAGCTCAACATACATACCTCTAGCATATAATCTGATGCTGTTCATATACGCTGCAAGGTTTTCCGCTACCAAAGTAACTAAGGCATGATCACGCTGAAGCTGGTTGATTAAATCATGACGGTAGAGTATGTGGGGGCTTTGCTGAGTTTGACTGTAACAAGAAGAATTTAGTATAATTAGGCAATTGAAAATAGTTGTAATTAAGAGATAAGTGGACACCAAATAGTAGTTACTAACTTAAAGTTGAAAATACATTCATAATAAAATGTTGAAAATATTCCATTTAATAATAAAATATCAAGCAATGTAGAAAATAATCTGTCTCACAAAAGATTGTTTCAATGTTTGGGTTTTTATTGTCTAACTTTACAAAATCAAATTGTATGTTACAGAATCATGCTTTCTCAAATCCTTAGCTTGCAATCAATTCTGCCCAGATATTTTAAAAGAGATACCTAATTCCTTTATCGTCCCCATTTCACCATTTTCAAGGAAACGAATTCCTTATTATTATTAATCTATGGTGATGAGATCACCAGGCTTAGAAGGGTATCTATTTGTAAAGAGAAAATGGGCACACTTGTTACATAACATGGGAAGTATGCTGGACCAAATGAAATTTTCCATCTTTAGAGAAATAGTTAAAATTCAACCTGAAATATCTAAAAACACAAATGACATTTCAATTTCTTTTAAAAGAGGAATTCTGTCTAGAGTTGATAAAGACTTGATAATCACATAAATTTTCTTTCATGAAAATTTTTCTATAGGGTTACAGAATCTAAGATTATAGCTATAACTAGTTAGATAAACCCAAGGTTCATTGATTAACCTAGAATCTTAACTGCATTATGACTACTCAAACATAATAGAAGAAAAGGATAAATTACTCTAGTAATGACAACTAGCATAAGTAAACACACAAAAAATCCAGCCAAAATAACAGTATACAAAATCTTATAATTTTCATAATTTAAATTGTGGGAGTAGTCTAATTTTTGAAATGTTAGCTTAAAACAAAAACTTATCCCTTTTGAGGAGGTGGTATTTCCTAGTGTAAAATTTGATATTAAAAAAATGTCCTCTCTCATTGTCCACACTGCCTGTCCAAAAAAAAAAAAAAAAAAAAAAAAAAAGCCGGCGCTGTGGCTCACTAGGCTAATCCTCCGCCTGCAGTGCCGGCACACCGGGTTCTAGTTCCAGTCGGGGCACCGGATTCTGTCCCGGTTGCCCCTCTTCCAGGCCAGCTCTCTGCTGTGGCCAGGGAGTGCAGTGGAGCATGGCCCAAGTGCTTGGGCCCTGCACCCCATGGGAGACCAGGAGAAGCACCTGGCTCCTGCCTTCGGATCAGCGCGGTGTGCCGGCCACAGTGGCCATTGGAGGGTGAACCAACGGAAAAGGAAGACCTTTCTCTCTGTCTCTCTCACTATCCACTCTGCCTGTCAAAAAATAAAAAAAAATGTCAAAATTGTGTGAGATAATTTAAAAAAACAATGAAGACTATATAAAATACTATCCTGTGCGATAACCACACACATTGGGTCCAAGAAACAAAGCAATAAAAATAAAAAATTAAATGAGAAGTGAGAGTAGAAACAACATGTGTCATCAACTTTTGGATAGCAAAGAGAATTCTGTACTAAAGACTCAGGGAAGTATCTTGGCTTTGATACCACCTGCTGTGTAATACTTAATGTAAACAATTTATCTGTGTCATCAAATATAAAGTAGTTGAATATAATTATTTCCATTCTCTAGGCTATTTTTTCACTCTAGTTTTCTTTAAAATTTGCCTTAATTGAATTTTATTTTTAATGTGATTTGTAAATAAAAATAACAAAATTCTCTGTGCTAGATCTTACCTGAGATTTTGTGGTGCTTCCCCAAACAAACTACAAATTTCTCTTATTTGTTTCAGTGCAGGAATTACCCACTTGTCATTTGTGCAAAGTTCTTCTATAAAGCGATCTATCCACTGGATCTTTTGTGTATCTCGATCCTTATACAAGAGAAAAAATTTAGGTTTAAGTGGAAAAGTACTCAACATTATTTTTCTTTCCAATTGTTTTGAGAATTTTAAAATATGAAAGATTTTAAACTCAGTGTAAACAAAAATATGGAGTTGTAGCACAGTTATCAAAGAAAAATACTTTGTCATTATTATGTTGAAACTACAACTTAAAACTCTAAAATGTAAAGCACTGTTATTAATGTTCTATGGATCCAAATCTGTATCCAAGACACAAATATCTACTTCTACAAAAGCAATATTTTTAAAACATCTGTCTGAATGTTGTTACTGCATATTTTATCGTAAGATTTATTCTATCATAACAAAACCATATCCCATTATTAATATTACTGATTCTGTCTTAGTTCTTTCTAACCAGAACGAGAAATATTGAAAAATTATAAATCATCAAGAAAATAACTAATTCTGCAAGTGAAAAACAGTCAACAAAATGCAACATAACTAAAGGGAAAAATGCAGAAAAGCACAGGTTTTCAAGAAAAGGAGAATTAAAATTATTTTAAGAATAAGTTTATTTCAACTACTCTCAGATGGTTTATTTGTTTCAATCTTCTGAACCACAAAGACAAGTAATTTCAAGTTCAGGTTTGGGTATATATTTTACTTAAAATGATTCTGCATCTGGCATATTTGGAAGAGAAATGACCAGTTCAGTATTTGTGTAATACAAACTTGTAGGGACATTTTTGCAAACTTATTTAGAAGAGTAAGTCTAAGACCTTAAGTGTAGACATCTTTTCAGACTAATAAGCTATTTTAATGGTTATACATACTACATTCATTACTATACAAGGTTTTATTATATATGTTTTTTCCTGTATTATTATGTTGTTTTCATACAATTCCCTGAAAAAAAACTCAAACATCCAATTACTATAGTGAATATTAACTATTTACCTTTTGGGGTGCTTAAAAATATTTGTAACCTATGAAACTTAAAAATTTGCAATGGCTCTGGAGCCAGCAGTGTTTCAATGAGTAAAGCTGGCATCTGCAGAGCCAGCATCCTATGTGGGAGCTGGTTTGAGTCTCATCTGCTCCTCTTCTGATCCAGCACTCTGCTAGGAAAGCAGCAGAAGATGGCCGAAGTCTTTGGGCTCCTGCACGCGCCTGAGGGACCCAGAGGAAACTCCTGGCTTCAGATCAGTTCAACTTCGGCTGTTGCAGTCATTTGGGGAGAGAGCCACTGGAAGGAAGACCTCTCTAACTCTGCTTCTGCCTTTATGTAACTCTGCCTTTCAAATAAATAAATCTTTTTTTTTTTTTCTTATTTTTGACAGGCAGAGTGGACAGTGAGAGAGTGAGAGAGAGAGAGAGAGAGAGAGAGAGAGAAAGGTCTTTCTTTACCGTTGGTTCACCCTCCAATGGCCGCTGCGGCCGGCGCATCGCACTGATCTGAAGCCAGGAGCCAGGTGCTTATCCTGGTCTCCCATGCGGGTGCAGGGCCCAAGCACTTGGGCCAACTTCCACTGCACTCCCGGGCCACAGCAGAGAGCTGGCCTGGTGAGGGGCAACCGGGACAGAATCCGGCGCCCTGACCGGGACTAGAACCCGGTGTGCCGGCGCCGCAAGGTGGAGGATTAGCCTATTGAGCCACTGCGCCGGCCAAATAAATCTTGAAAAAAAAAACAAAACTGTAATAGGTCTTCTAAACACTGGGATAAGGCAATGAAAGTGGTAGACTCACTGGTTCACCTTGAAAAAGGTGAACTCTTTACTCAAAGTAGGGAAACTCAGTTCATATTTTATATAATAATGTGTGAAAGAATATGATAAAGATTAATGTAAGCAACTTTAGCATTTATAACATGTACATGGCTTTGATTCTCTATAATACTTCTCCATTTAATAAAATATCATTTCAACTTGAAATCCTAATAAGCATGTTAAATACTAAATAAACACTGAATGAGCAATTAAAATTAATTATAGGTAAATATCAAGTTCAAATGAACTAAATGAAGTTTATTCTTTTCATCACATGTGAAGATGCAAATGTATTAAAGATTATTGGAAGTGGAAAATGCTCCTTTCTCTTTACCTATTTGTAAGGACAGTAACTACGATAAAATTAATTTGTATATTCTTCAGAATTAATAAAAAAGTAAATATTTATAGGTTGCTAAGATCAGAGTCCACAGAGTTATGGATGTCTAATCTTCATTTTTTCAGTCTCCACGTTAATATTTTAATCTAATTATTTAATGACAATCAGTTCTGTAAATACTTTAGAACCACCACTAATTATATGGTTTTCACAAGCTGAAAGCATTATATTGTGTTTGCTTGACTAAATTAAACTTGAGTCCTAACCAAAAGTAGAATACTACTTTTACTCTTTATTTTTTATTTTAAAAGGAATTGTTAAACTTTATTTTATTTAATAGCCAATTACAGACAGAGAGGAAAAGACAGAGAGAGAGACAAAGAAAAATCTTCCATCCACTGGTCACTCCCCAGATGGCTGCAATGGTCAGGGCTGGGTCAGGATGAAGCCAGGAGCCCAGAGCTTCTTTCAGGTCTCCCACGTGGATATGGGGGCTCAAGCCCTTGGGCCATATTCCATATTTCCCAGATACATTTCCCAGAGAGCTAGACAGAAAGCACAGTGGCCAGGACACAAACTAGCATATGATATGCTGGAGCTGCAAGCAGTGATTTTTTACCTGCTATGCCACAATGACAGCCTCATGAATGCCTACACTCTACAAATGGAGAACATCCCAGCTCAGTCCTCCCTTTTGAAAGAGAGTAAGTCATGGTTTACAAAATCTTGGACTGTCCCATTATAACCATGGCAAACCATTACTGAAAAATATCCAAAAACTGGTTTAAGATCATAGTTAAAAGTTGGTATTTATGGGATGGTGCTGTCGCAGAGTGGGTTAAAGCTGCTGCCCTCAGTACCAGTATCCCATACGGGTGCCATTTTGAGTCCTGGCCACTCTGCTTTCAATCCAGCTCTCGTGCTATGGCCTGAGAAAGCAGTGGAAGATGGGCCAACCCCTTGGCCCCAGCAGCCATGTGGAAGAGCTGGGGGAGGCTTCTGGCTCCTGCCTTTGGATTGGTGCAGCTCTAGTCATTGTGGCCAACTGGGGAGTGAACCAGTGGATGGAAGACCTCTCTCTCTCTCTGCCTCTCCTTCTCTCTCTGTGTAACTCTGACTTTCAAATAAATAATCTTTAAAGAAAAGTTGATATTTAAAAATAAATAATTAAAATCAGTAAAAAAATAATTAATAAATAAATTTCATGAATTTAAATCCAAGGGAGCTAATATTTGTTCAGAGAAGCAACTATTAAATTGTTCATTTTATTAACTTCTTATAAATGAATAAAACTTAAGTATTAAAAGTCACAATTAGTTTTAGCTATTTATTATCTATTTAACTACTTTTTACAGTTTTACCTATTAAAAACCTTCTTCTCAGAAAGTAAAAATGCAAAGTGAATGATACATGAAAACTTGTCAAACAAATGGCTAAAAACTTGCTAAAAACAATGCCTATCTGACAAAAATAAATCAATTACTCAAAATTAGTTTAAAAATAAAAATGATGCCACAGATTTCAACTTTAGTCACTAAACTATACTAATTATGAAAAAGAAAAAAAAAGTCCAGAGAAACTGATCAAAGAAACACTCTCATACCTGAGAACAGCTATAATCTAGTATTTTTATGTGGGCACTGAGTGCTAGGTCCATTATGTCTACAGGTACATCATCACTGTGGGCCAGATTCCAAAGAAGGTTCAATACTTTATGTGCCATCACACCATCTTTATCATCTTCTGCAAGACGACGTATCAGCTCAAGTAGTTTTTCACGCTGTTTGTTATTTGCATTAGTCCAACTTGCCTAAAAAATTTTTAAATAATGTAATTTTACATTAGTTACATCTTTGTATAAAGTATTTTCAAGCCATCATACATACACATACATTCCTGCTACAACTAAGCCACAGGAAGCCTAGTAAACTCAGGAATTTACTTGTTGTTTAACAAAAATAAGACTAAGCTGACATGGTAGAAATGTAAATCCCTCTGTATTCAAAATTTTTTCTTTTCTTTTCTTTTCTTTTCTTTTCTTTTCTTTTCTTTTCTTTTCTTTTCTTTTCTTTTCTTTTCTTTTCTTTTTTTGACAGGCAGAGTGGACAGTGAGAGAGAGACAGAGAGAAAGGTCTTTCTTTACCGTTGGTTCACCCTCCAATGGCCGCTGCAGCTGGTGTGCTGCGGCCGGCGCGCTGTGGCGATCTGAAGCCAGGAGCCAGGTACTTATCCTGGTCTCCCATGCAGGTGCAGGGCCCAAGCACTTGGGCCATCCTCCACTTCCCTCCTGGGCCACAGCACAGAGCTGGACTGGAAGAGGGGCAACCAGGACAGAATCTGGTGCCCCAACCATGACTAGAACCTCGTGTGCCGGCTCCACAGGCAGAGGATTAGCCTATTGTGCCTATTGTACAAATTTTCTTTATACAAAATGTTAATCAGTATTGCCCATCTGTGTGACAAACAAGGTGATAATGGTAAAACTGGAGTTCTGCCTCTACCAGGTCAAAGTCATGGGCACCCCTCTCTCCTTGTCTGAATAGTGTGAATGAATTTAAACAGAAATTTGGTAATATCTCTAAGGTCTCTGGGTTTCAATTAACAATTACTAGACATGGCAAGAATAAAAAAATATCAACATGAACTTAGGAAGATAATTTTTAGAAGCTCAAACCAAGTATTATCAAACAATTTAAAGCACTCTTGCAAATCTTTAAGTATTAAAAAATTCAACAAAATCTGAACCATGTTTAATAATCTCTCAGCAGACAAGAAAGAAACAGAAGAAAACACACACAAAACAGCAAGTTTAAGTCCACAAATTAAATTAAGTAGTTTAAATATAATAGCTATAGAAGCCAGCGCTGTGGCATAGCGGGTAAAGCCTCCACCTGCACTGCCGGCATCCCATATGGTTGCCATTCAAGTACTCGCTGCTCCACTTCCAATCCAGCTCTGTGGTGTGGCCTGGAAAAGCAGTGGAAGATGGCCAAGCCCTTGAGCCCCTGCACCCATATGGGAAGACGGGGAGGAAGCTCCTGGCTCCTGATAGGCATAGTTATAGCCACTGCGGCTAACTGGGGAGTAAACTAGCGGATGGAAGCCCTCTATCTCTCTCTCTGGTTATCCTTCTCCCTCTGTGTAATTCTTTCAAATAAATAAATAAATCTTTAAATTAAAAAAATACAATTTCTATAATGCAGAAATAGGGATTATTTATATTACTAAATATAAGAAACAAGTAGTAAGAATGAGAGGATATAATGGAAAAGGACAATCCATCAACAAAGAATAAGAATATGAAAAGTTATTCAGTAAAAACTTGAAGCATAGATAGAATTCAAGCAAGAAATAGACAAAAATCATAATTACTGTCACAAGTACTCTCGACACCTCTCAAAGATAACAAAACAAATGAAGAAACAAGCAAACAAACAAACAAAAAAAACCCAGATGGGATACAGAACTCAAGTAGATCATCAACCAATAGGATTTCACTGAAATTCAAGGATATTCCATTTAACTGGAGCAGTACTGAGAGAAAATTTGTCAAGAAACACATCATGAACAAAAGGACAAATATCAAACTTAAAAGACTAGAAATCTTAATGAGTAGATTCCAAGTACCCTGTAAATAAACTATAAATCACAAGTATTCAGAATACAGGAAAATTTCCTAGAACTACTTTCCTAAATACAAGTTATATATTGTTGAAGAAGGATCTTAATAGAAAATAAAATTATAACTGGAACCAGTATTATGATGTGGCAGGTTAAGCAGCCACATGTGAGACACCAGCATCCTATAAAAGGAACCAGTACAAATCCTGGTTGCTCCACATTTGATCAAGTTCCCTGTTGATGAGCCTGAGAAACCCACATGCTTGGGCCCCTACAACACATGTGGGAAATCTAGATGAAGTTCCTGGCTTCAGATTGATCCACTCACTTTTGGCCACTGCCGTCATCCGGGAGTGAACCAGTGGATAGAAGAACTCTGCCTCTTTCTAACTCTGCTTTTCCGATAAATAATAAATAAATAAATCCTAAAAAAATAAAAAAAGAACCAAAAAATAAAACAAAACAAAAAAACAAAAAACACCTAACAACAATAACAACAACAACAAAAAACCCTCAATGTAATTGATTTTGGACCCATGCTGTGGTGTGGTTGTTATCACATGGGCACTGGTTTGAGTCCCAGCTGCTTCAGCTCCATGCAACTCCTTTCTAATTAATGTACCTGAGAAAGCAGCAGAGAAAGTCAAAGTCCATGAGCCCCTGCACCCAAATGGGAGATCCAGAGGAAGCTCCTGGTTTTGGAAGAGTCCATTTGGCACTAACTCTCACTAACTCTGCTTTCAGATAAATAAATAAATAAATAAATAAATAAATAAATAAATAAATGTTTTTTAAATTTTTTTTATAAGATGTATTTATTTCGTTGACAGAGAGAGGGAGAGGTCTTCCATCTTCTGGTTCCCTCCACAAATGGCTGAAATTGCCAGGGCGGGAACAGATTGAAGCTAGGAGCCAGTAATTTCCTCCAGGTCTACCACTTGAGTGTAGGAGTCCTAGGACTTGGGCTATCTTCCACAACTTTTCCAGGCTCTTAATAGGGAGCTGGATGGGAAGTGGAGCATAACTGAGACTTGAACAGGAGCTCATATGGGACACCAATGCTAAAGGCGGAGATTTAATCTACTATGCCACAAAGCCGGCCCCTAAATCAATCTTTACAAAAAAAAAATGCTCCCCCTAAAAAGTATAACTGATTTTATTTAAGTCATAATAAATCTAAATTTACATAAAACATACATGATATGAAAACAGTGGTGATACAGAAATACATAGTACATTAAATGCTTAAGAAAAAAGATGCTAGGGCCGGCACCCGGGGTTCTAGTCCTGATCGGGGCACTGGATTCTGTCCCGGTTGCCCCTCTTCCAGTCCAGCTCTCTGCTGTGGCCCGGGAGTGCAGTGGAGGATGGCCCAAGTCCTTGGGCCCTGCACCCACATGGGAGACCAGGAGAAAGCACCTGGCTCCTGGCTTCAGATCTGTGCAGCAAGCCGGCCGGAACGTGCTGGCTGCAGCAGCCACTTGGGGGATGAACCAACGGAAAAGGAAGACCTTTCTCTCTGTCTGTCTCTCTCTCTGTCTAACTCTGCCTGTCAAAAAAAAAAAAAGAGAGAGAGAGAGAGAGATGTTCAAGTACTTGCAACTTCTATATACAACTGAGAAAAAGCAAAGTAAGCCCAAAACAAGCAGAGGAAATATTAAAGAACAAAACAAAAATCAACAAAACTTAAAATACAAAAAATAATGTGAATAAAATGAAAAAACAAAATGAAGAATTAGTTTTCTGAAAGGACATAATCAAACTTTCAGGAAAAAAGAAAAATCATGAATTATCAAAATTAGAAATCAAACAATTATCATTATAGGTAACAGACATAAACACAGAACACTAAATATTAGAAGCAAACATCATCTCATATTTTATGACCTGAACCACTTCCTGTGAAAATACAATTCCTGTAAGTCATCTCATACAAACTAGGCAACTTGAGTAGAGGTGTCACTTTTTAGGAAACTGAATTCATACCTTTAAAATTCCAAAAATAAAAATCTTAAAATTCACATGGTTCAGTGGAAAATGTACAAACACAAACTATTAATACCAATAATATATATTTCTTCCAGAAAACAGAAGAGAAAGGAATACCTCTTATTTTATTTCATAAGGAAGTAATGCTCTATCAGGAAAACACAATTAAAGAGGAAAATTTCAGATTATATCCTTCTTAAATATTGATAAAAATGTTCACATACAAAACACTAATAAAACGGAATTCCACAGTATATAAAAATAAACAATATGATCAAGCTTAGTTTCTTTTATATGCAAGACTTTCAATAATGAAAATACAATCAGTATAGTAAATACGTCACAGAATGAAGATCTTATTTGCAGAACCACATAAAATGAATATACAAAAAGCACTTGACAGATCATAAACTACCAACACTACAGTGCTGAGTAGTTAGCCATTGATATTTGGTATTTTAGGTATACAAACACATTTTTAATTTATTACATATAATTTTTAACATTTATTTATGTATTTGAAAGGTAGAGTTAGTTACACAGATGAAGAGAGAGCAATAGCGAGAGGGCAGGGAAGAGAGAGACAGTGAAAGAGAGAGAGACAGATAGAAATAGAGGTCTTCCATCACTTGGTTCAGTCCCCAAAAGGCTACCATGTCTGAAGCAGGGCCAATCTAAAGCCAGGAGCCAGGAGCTTCTTCTAAGTCTCTCAGGTACGTGAAGGGATCCAAATACTCGGGTATTTGGCTTTCCTAGGCCATAGCAGAGAGCTGGATTCAAAGTGGGGCAGCTGGGACATAAACAGGTATCCATATGGGATGCCAGCACTGCAGGCAGAGGCTTAACCTACTACATCACAGCACCAGCCAGCCCCTTTATTATATATATATATTTTTTTTCTGGACAAGCAGAGTGGACAGTGAGAGGGAGAGACAGAGAGAAAGGTCTTCCTTTTCCGTTGGTTCACCCCTCAGTGGCTGCTGTGGCCAGCGCACTTCGCTGATCCAAAGCCAGGAGCCAGGTGCTTATCCTGGTCTCCCATGCAGGTGCAGGGCCCAAGCACTTGGGCCATCCTCCACTGCACTCCCTGGCCACAGCAGAGAGCTGGCCTGGAAGAGGGGCAATCGGGACAGAATCCGGCGCCCCGACCGGGACTAGAACCCGGTGTGCTGGCGCCGCAAGGCGGAGGATTAGCCTGTTGAGCCGCGGCGCCGGCCTGTTTGCGTAATCTTAATGTAATAATGACTGAAAACAATCAAGACTGAGTAGTTCTGGCACAGGGATAGACAGACACAGATAGCCTGTAAAAACCCACATACTTTCCCAAATGATTTCTGGCTCAAAGACAATCTTTAACAAATAGTACCTGGAACTGATGATGATTTGCTTACTATTATTTCTGAAATACTGATTTCTTATGGGTTCTTGCCAATAATTCAGAGAATAATTTGAATACCGGCTCAAATAAACCAGGAAGCATGGTAAGATTTTAATGTTCTTTTGTTCAGTCAGAGAAATGCATAGGAGAGTGAGGGCTTTAAGGGAGCAAGGAAAGTCTGGAAGTAAGTTGAGGCCAGACCAAGCAGAAAACAAGCTGAGAGCCATGTGCAGCAGGCCTTTCGTTAACAGCACCTATTATGAGCAGCTTATCACAGGAAGAGAGTACAGGTCCAAATAATTGCGAAAAAGGGCAAAGAGAAAAAAAGAGGAAAAAGGGCTGGGTCCACTGTATTTCAAGCCTTTTATCCACTTCAAAGGGGAGCAGTTATGTAGCCTGAATGGCAGGTGGGCATTCAGGTGGGGTCAGGTAGAATCTATTAACATGAGGCAGAAATCTGCTCTGTCAGTTATTACCTTGAAGCAATCAAAAAGATGATCAAGTTGTTCAGGAGAAAAATCCCAAGCCAACTTTGCTAGTAAATCATGCACATTCTTCACAATGGCTTCATGTTTCCCCGCCTGTTAATAAATGAAAAAGAAAACAAAATCAGCATACTTCCATTTTAGTAATAGGAACTAAGTAATTAATGTCAAGTTCTGTTACTTAACACTTCTACCATTAATATTTTATTTATTTGATGGGGCTGGTGTTGTGGTACAGTGGGTTAATCCACTGCCTGCAGTGCCAGCATCCCATCTGGCACCAGTTTGAAACCCAGCTGCTCCATTTTCGATCTAGCTCTCTGTTATGGCTTGGGAAAGCAGTAGAAGGAGCAAGTCCTTGGGCCCGTGCACCCTCATGGAACACTTGGAGGAAGCTCCTCGATCCTGGATCCACTCAGCAGCTCTGCCCACTGTGGCCAACTGGAGATTGAACCAGCAGATGGATAACCTCTCTCTCTGATTCTCCTTCTTTCTCTGTGTAACTCTGATTTTCAAATAATTAATAAATCTTTAAAAAAAGTTATTTATTTGAAAGGTTGAGAGTGAAAAGACACCAAGAATTAGAAAGGTATCAGGATCTTCTATCTGCTGGGTCACTCCCCAAATGCCTAAAATAGTGAGGGCTGGCCCAGGCCCAAGGCAGGAATCTGGAACTCATTCTTGGTCTACCATGTGAGTTTCGGAGGATTAAGTAGTTGAACCATCATCTACTGACTCCTACTGTTATTTCTCATAATAAATATTAGCAGAATGCTGGATTACAAGCAGATTTGAGACTTGAATCCAGACACTTTGATATAGCATGTAAGTGATGTCTGAACCACTGCATACAAACGCCCAGACCCCTGATACTAACTTTAATATAGTAAATGTCTTATAGCTGTCATATAAAACTTGACAACTCCACTCTTTGGTAAGAATGGTTAACAATTTTGAAGTATTGATATGAAAATCATTTACAAAATATTAACTAACAAAATTAAAGCTAGAAATAAGTCAAATTACTGGATTGTTGCAAAATTTAATGCATGTCAATAAAGATAACATTAAACATTTTGTTTCTTGAAACAGGAAGACCGAAACACAGGTTAAGAATACTTTTGTTAACAATACTTCCCAAGGGATGCCAGAGTAGAAATCTACATTTGGATAACGTAAGAGATATTCATTTTTTTAAACTTTTATTTAATGAATATTCAATTGGCTTCCCCGCCCCCAATGACTTCCCTCCCACCCGCAACCCTCCCCTTTCCCGCTCTCTCTCCCCTTCCATTCATATCAAGATTCATTTTCAATTTTCTATATATACAGAAGATCAGTTTAGTATACATTAAGTAAAGATTTCAACAGTTTGCATCCACATAGGAACACAACGTGAAATATACTGTTTGCGTACTCGTTATAGCATTAAATCTCACGTACAGCACATTAAGGACAGAGATCCTATGTCAGGAGTAAGTGCACAGTGACTCCTGTTGTTGACTTTACAAATTGACACTCCTGTTTATGGCATCAGTAATCTCCCTATGCTCCCGTCATGAGTTTCCAAGGCTATGGAAGCCTTTTGAGTTCACCAACTCTTATCTTATTTAGACAAGGTCATAGTCAAAGTGGAAGTTCTCTCCTCCCTTCAGAGAAAGGTACCGTAAGAGATATTCATTAAGACTTCTGAAATCAGTTATTTATTCTAACAAAAATTTACAAGCTTGGGGTTGGTGCTGTGGCACAATAGGTCAAATCACTGCCTGCAGGACACTGGTTCCTGTCCTGGGGGCTCAATTTCTGATCCAGCTCCCTGCTAATGGCGGGAAAGCAGCAGAAGCTGCCCCAACCACTTGGGCCCCTGCAACCATGTAGGAGGCCCAGAAGTAGCTCCAGCTCCTGGCTTCAGCTTGACCCAGTCATGAGTGGATGATGTGGTCATTTGCAGAGTAAACCCCCAAGATGGAAGACCTCTTTCTCTTCCTTCTTTGTAACTCTGCCTTCCAAATAAAAAAGAAAAAAAAGGTGCAATCTTCCAATTTAGCATTGTAATGCAGTGGGTTAAGGTGCCACTTGTGACGCCATCCTCCCTTACCAAAATGTTGATTCAAGTTCTGGCTACTCCATTTCACATCCTACGCCCTGCTAATATGCCTGGGAAGGCACAAGAGGATGGATCAAACACACTGTCCCTGCTAATATATAGGAGACCAGGATGGAGTTTCTGGCTCCTAGGTTTGGCATGGCCCAGTCCAGTGGTGGTAGCTATTTGGGGAAATGAACCAATAGATGGAACATTTCTCTTTCTGTGTCTCTCCTTTCTCTATCACTATGCCTTTTAAATAAAATAAATTTCTTCTTTAAAAAAATTACAATCTTCTATAAAGTTTTTAAAACTTTTTAAAATAATCTATACACTTTAGTATATATAAAGATGGGAACATTTAACTTCTATTTTAAAATATTCTTGACAGAAGATAGTATCTGGAATAGCACATTAGACACCAGTATGATGCTCATGTCTGTTTACTGGAGTGCCTGAGTTCAAGCCCTAGCTCTGGCTCCAGTTCTTGGGTCCTTGGCATCCATGTGGGACACCTGGATGGCGTTCCTGACTGGTCCTGGTCCAGTCTTGGCTGTTTCAGACATCTGGGGAGTGACCAGTAGTTGGGAGTTCTGTCTCACTCTCTCTGTATATACCATTTTCTCCCTCAGTTTCTTTGTGCCTCTTGTGTAAATAAGAAAATAATTTTAAAAATATTCGTGAAGGGATGTTTATACATGTGCTTTACTAAAAGACAAGCAATATAAACTTGCATTCTAGAACATAAAGATACCACAGGATCTTTAATGTATCAGAACCACAGCAAGACAAAGAGCTCTCATCCAGTGTTTCACTTCATAAATAATTAGAACTGATGCCAGAGAGTCAATTTCCTCTGTGGGTGGAAGTAATTCAATCACCTGAGCCATCCTTGCTGCCAAGAGTTAATTACTGAAGAAGAGAATCAAAATCAGGTACACTGGGTATTATGGGAGAAAGGAGGGAGAGGGTGGGGCCTTAACTGGTAAGTTAAAGTTTTGGTGTCTTTGCTACAAAAAGAAAATAGCTGTCATCTTACACACATCTTACCTGTGCTGCCCAGATATTATTAAGATCCTGTAACGTAAGAACTTTTTCTTTAATCACAAAACGAAGAATCTTCTCTAGCTTTTCTACATACTGTGGTTGATGAAGACTATCTCGCAAGACTACAGACAAGATACTGTTTTGCTGTATCCATTCCTAAATGTAATGCAAAAAATCGTTCAAGCAGAAACTGAAAAGATCTTTAAAAAAACATAAATCAGATTTCTAAGTAACATGAGAATCAAGAACTCAAATATTATGTATGTCCACAATACTAACACACTAAAATAGTTCGTGTTGTTTCCATATAAAATTATTAAACACTATAATAAATAACTGTAGAATTCAACTCTGCATAGAACATGTTTCCAGAGATGTGTAAATTTCAGATTATACCCCCTAATATAAAAAACTTTCACCTTTAAGGTGCAGTTAGTAAACTTTAAAATATGTAACATATGGAATTTGTTCTACAAACATTTATTCTACACTACATTCAGAAAACATGCTTTATATAGCAATACAAGTCTCAATCTAGTTGTTCAGAATAACCAGTTTTGTGTTTGTCACAGGTCTTACATATAAAAATTCTTCTATAAACTACAATAAAATAAACATGAAAGTCACACAGCAATGACAAACTTTCACAATTTTTTAAGATTCTCACTTTCTCCATCTATTGAAGACTGCTAATAACAAAAAAATTACTGAAAAACACCGCATATTTTGTGTTTGATATTTTATAAGACAGACAATCACTTTCTCCATCTATTGAAGACTGCTAATAACAAAAAAATTACTGAAAAACACCGCATATTTTGTGTTTGATATTTTATAAGACAGACAAATTGCATACATAAAACCTGATCCCAAATTCTGAGCCAGAACCTGAAGTAAGTTAGATACTGTTTTCTAAATCCCACAAAAATGTCCTCAGGATACTTTTTAAGTCACATTTGAAATATCTGCATTATTGAATTAAAGATTCCTTTAATGTGGAGAATATTAACCACAAGTATATCTATAGTAATGAAATTAAATATTACATTAAAAATAGCTTTTTTTTTTTTTTTGACAGGCAGAGTGGACAGTGAGAGAGAGAGACAGAGAGAAAGATCTTCCTTTTGCCGTTGGTTCACCCTCCAATGCCCGCTGCGGCCGGTGCACCCCGCTGATCCAAAGCCAGGAGCCAGGTGCTTCTCCTGGTCTCCCACGTGGGTGCAGGGCCCAAGCACTTGGGCCATGCTCCACTGCACTCCCTGGCCACAGCAGAGAGCTGGCCTGGAAGAGGGGCAATCGGGACAGAATCCGGCGCCCCGACCGGGACTAGAACCCGGTGTGCCAGTGCCGCAAGGCAGAGGATTAGCCTGTTGAGCCACGGTGCCAGCCTAAAAATAGCTTTCAATAGTTAGGTAGCCTATTTTCTTTTTCATTTCGAAACTAAAGACAACGATGCCTATAAGTACTTTCATATCAAAGTGAGAAAGATGTAACACTGATGTAAAAATAAATTAATGGAATAAATGTTAAATGAGTTTTTATTCTATTAATTATTATTACCTTGATTCAACAGAGTATATTTACCCAGTCATTTTAAAGATAATCTATTTCAATTTAACCAAACCTCCAGATTATAACTGTATCGCAAATACCTTCAATCAGTAATAAATTTACAAAAATACAGTAAGTTACCCATAACTTCCAAATTAATGTTTATTACCAGAATAATAAAGTTTTAACATTAGTAATTGTTCTAACAGTAACTATTGCCAAAATCTAGCTTTCCAAAAAAAAAAATTCTTATACACAAAAGGAAGAATTAAAGTCACTTACAGCCATTCGTTCAGCTGTCAGCCATTCCTCTTCCTCAGGATTACCATGATGAGCATAGTATGACACACTAGATATTACCTTATTGATTTCATTCAGTGCATTCATTTTTCCATTAAAAGAAGAGATCTGAAGCAATCTAAAAGTAAAATTTGGAATTAATATCATGTAATAATTTCATATATAGTAACAGAGTAAGAAATATCTTACCTAAGTATCATTTTCAACCTAAAAATTTCTAGATTTTTTCTAGTTTCTTCTTGTTCTGGAATTCTTGAAGCTAAATTCTTCAGAGACTTAATAATCATTGAAAGAGCATCATTTTTAACTTCATTCTTTGCTTCTTTTTTCAGTTCCTCATCAGTTAAATTTTCTAGTAATTGTGGGATTACATCAATAACTGGAATAAAGTATTTTTTCACTGTATGTTGACTGAGAAATTCATAGCATTGTCCAAATGGTCTGAAATAAGGAGACATAAAAGTTCTGTAATATTCAGTCCTTAAAAATGAGAACTAGGGGCCAGCGCTGTGGCGTAGTGGGTAAAGCTGCTGCTACAGTGGTAGCATCCCATATGTGCACTGGTTCAAGTCCCAGCAGTTCCACTTCCAATCCCGCTCTCTGCTATGGCCTGGGAAGACAGTAGAAGATGACCTAAGCCTTGGGTCCCTGTACCCATGTAGGAGACCCGGAGGAGGCTCTTGGCTCCTGGCTTCAGACTGGCCCAGCTCCAGCTGTTGCAGCCATTTGGGGAGTGAATCAGAGGGTGGAAGATTTCTCTTTCTGCCTCTCCTTCTCTCTTTGTGTAACTCTTTCAAATAAAATAAATTAAAAAAAAAAAAATGAGAACTCACACTTCCATCAACACTTAATACAAAAACAAATTATTTTAAAATGTAAGACACTGCATTACAAAACTGAAATACAACGACTTTTCAGAAAATAACATAGCAAGATAGTGCATGGAAAATCAACTTTAAAATATAACTTACTTAATAAATGCAGCAATTACTTGGACGTTTAATGCCGATCCATTAATAAAGCGATCAAGTAAAATCTGGAAACCATTTAATGTGCCAAATTTATTGATGAGATCCACCAGCCAACCCTGTAATAATTAATTATGTGTTAATCCTAACAAAGCACTACCTAAAATGTATTTGAAACAAGCTCATAAATTTAAAAATTTAATGATACTAAATACAATTATTTTTTAAAAGCATACAGGGCCATTATCTATTGTATTTTGTTGCAATATGCCTTGAGCCAAAAACAGCAGAAGCAGCAATCCTAGAGGTGCGCAAAGATTGTGTTAGCCAACACTTGTTTTAAAAGATTTGTTTGAGAGTCAGAGTTACAGAAAGACAGAGAGAAAGACAAAGACTTCCATCAACTGGTTCACTCTCCAAGTGGCCATAACTGTGTGGGCTGGGTCAGGCCAAAGCCAGGAGCAGGTGCTTCTTCTGGGCCTCTGATGTGGGTACAGGGTCCAATGACTTGAGCCATCCTATGCTGCTTTCCCAGGCACATCAGCAGAGAGCTGGATTTAATTTGTCACCCACTTGAGATGCTGGCATCATAGGCATTGACTTAACCCATTGTGCCACAGTGCTGACTCCTAGATAACACTTCCACATATTAGATGTAATATGGGTTCAAGAATTATGAAGTTAAGAAAAGATGAATCAAGTATTAAGAAATAAGGACAAAAATTTTTAATCTTGCTTGCAATAAAGCCAAACTTTAGGAAAAACTAAAGATAATAAGGTGAGGAAAATTTGCATCTGGGTGAATGGTTAAATTTTCTTCTATACTTTCTAGTCTGGGTTCTGTTCCTAATTCCAGCTTCCTAATGTTAACCCCACGAAACAGCAAGGATGGCTCAAGTGGTTAAAATCCCTGCCACTTGAGTGGGAAACATGTATTGAATTCTGAACTCCGTGCTTCTATCTTGCCCAGCCTTGGCTGTTGGCAGGCATCACAGAGTCAAGGAGCAGATGGGAGATCTTTCTCAACTTTCCACATGAATAAAACAAATAAAAAATAAAATAATATTTAAATTTTATTAAGATTCAACAGGGGACTTCAATAGGCAAAATTTACAATCAAAAATTGAAACATATAATCAAAAATCACTTAAAGGGATGGTACTATGCTACAGCCAGTTAGGCTACTGTCTGCAGTGCCAACATCCCATATGGGCACTGAGTCTTGGCTGTTCCACTTCCAATCCAGTTACCTGCTAAGGCACCTGGGAAAGCAGTGGAATATGGCCCAAGTGCTTGGGCCCCGGTACCCATGTGGGAGACCTGGGTGAAGCTCCTGGCTCTTGATCAGCCCTGCTCCAGCTGTTGTGGCTATCTGGGAGGTAAACCAGGAGATGGAAGATCTCTCTGTCTCTTTCTTTCCCTCTTTCTCTGTAACTGTAGCTTTCAAATAACCTACTAAGTCAGAAAAAGAAAAGAAAGAAGTTCAGAAGAGAAAAAAGAAAGAGAGAAAGGGAGGGAGAGAGAGAGAAAGGGAGAGAGGGAGGGAGGAAGGAAGAAAAAAAAACCACTTAGAAGAGCAAAAAGAAAAAAAGAATGAAGGGAAGCTAATTAAGTGTAAAATATTTGTGAAACACCACCAAAGGGGAAAATATGTGTATTACTGAATTCTGAGGGAGTAAAGAGAATAGGATAAAAGGACTATATGAAACACATAATGTCAAAGACATGTACATTCAAATCAAAGATAGTCAATGAACTAATAGGCACCAGGAGGCGTTATATAAAATTATCTGAAGAAAAAGAGAATCCTGAAAACATCAAGGGAAAATTATTTATATATAAAATAGCCTTAGTAAATAATAACTGACTCCGTAGCAGGACCTTGTAATTCAGAAGAATGATACTTAAAGTGCTTAAGGTGAAAAAATACACACACAAATACACAAATCTGATGACTGATTTAGGGAAACCTGAACCCCTCCATAGACACAGCTGGCTGATTTTTGATCTGCCAGCCCCCAGACTCTGAGCTAAAATAAACACCTATTTCTAGTAGTCAGTCTTTTTTTTATAGTAAAAAACAAACAAAAAACAAAACAACAACAAAAAAACTACAAACCCAAACTCAGTTCTGCTAAACATGAAGCAAATAATGACAGATCGAAGGGAAAAGTAAGTCCTACAACACTAGTCAGAGATTTTAATACTTTATTTTCAATAATGGCTAGAAAAATGACACAGAAAGTACGAAAGAGGCATGGGGCTACATTGTGGTACCATCAGATAAGCTGCCACCTACAACACTGCATCCCATATGGGTGTGGGTTGAATCCTGACTGCTCTGCTTCTGATACAGCTCTTTATTAATACGCTAGGAGAAACAGTGGAAGATCATCCCAGTGTTTGGGTCCCTGTAACTCACATGAGAGACCAAGATGAAGCTGGCTGGCCTTTGGTTTGGCTTGACCCAGCCTATCCCACCATTGTGGACATTTAGGGAGTGAATCAGCAGATGGAAGATCTCTCACTGCCTCTCTCCTTTCTGCAAGTAACTCTGCCTTTCAAGTATATAAACTGAATGGAATAGAGACACACACACACACACCATAGAACTGGACCCCTAAATCATACATAGAACACTTTACTCAACAACAGCAGCATTCCTCTTAAGTGTGCATCTAATATTCATCAAGATATCTTATGCCAAAAAAACAAGTCATAATAAACCTAAGAAGATGAAACCACAGAAATATCTTTCCAAATTACAGAAGAATGAATTCAGAAATCAATTGAAGAAGGAAAAACAGAAAATCCATAATGAATAGAAATTAAATATCATTAATTATTTTTCAGAGACAAAAATCACAATGGAAATTAGAAGATTAGAGGCAAATAAAAATGAAAATACAGTGCAACAAAAGTTGTAGGATGGGGGCCGGCGCTGTGGCACAGCGGGTTAATGGCCTGGCCTGAAGTGCCGGCATCCCATATGGGCACCGGTTCGAGACCTGGCTGCTCCTCTTCCAATCCAGCTCTCTGCTCCGGCCTGGAGTAACAGCAGAAGATGGCCCAAGTCCTTGGGCTCTTGCACCCACGTGGGAGACCCGGAAGAAACTCCTGGCTCCTGGCTTTGGATGGGTGCAGGTCCAGCTGTTGTAGCCAACTGGGGAGTGAACCATCGGACGGAAGAGCTCTCTCCCTCTCTGCCTCTCCTCTGTGTAACTCTGACTTTCAAATACACGAATCTTTAAAAAAAAAAGTTGTAGGATGCAGTAAATGTGAAGCCAAGAGGGAAATTTACAGTATAAACAACACATTCTCTCAAAAAAAAAAAAATCAGATCAATGTCCTAACCGTACCTAATTTAGGAATTAGGGAAAAAAATAACTAATTAACCCCAGGGAATAATAATCATAATAAAAATAAATATGAGAAAAACCAACTAAACAAAAACCTGTATCTTGAAAAAAAATTTTAAACTACTTGTTTTGAATTTCACCTAGAATAAGAGAGGATTCAACTAAAACCAGAAATAAAGGAAGGCAGTATTACTACTGATTTTACACAAATATAAAATTACTATAGTTTCTGTAACCAAAAACCTCTCAACGTAAAAAAGCCAAACTGAAGACGGCTGCCTTGGGGAAATCTACCAAATAATTATTTTAAGCAATCTTCATATTATTTCAAACAATGAAAAAGGGGGAACAAAACAAAACTCCTTCATAAGGCTAATGTTATCCTGGTTATTAAGACAAAGAGATAATTAAAACAAACAAACAAACAAAAAAAAAAACAAAACAAAAAAACTACAGGGGCCGGCAATGTGGTATAGTGGGTAAGCCACAACCTGCAACACTGGGATCCCATATAACCACTGGTTGAGTCCTTGCTATTCTTCGTCTGATCTAGCTTTCTGCTAATGCACCTAGGAAAGCAGTGGGAAATGGCATATGTGCTTGGGCTCCTGTACCCACATGGGAGGTCTGGAAGACTCTGGGCTTCTGGCTTCAGTCTGTCCCAGTCCTGGCCATTTTGGCCATTTGAGGAGGAAACCAGCAGATTGAAGATCTCTATCCCTGTAATTCTTTCAAATAAATAAAGTAAATCTTAAAAAAAAATTACATAATTATGCTCCTTTAGCACACAGATCTAAGTTCCTTACTAAGATTGTGTTCTTTAAAAAGTCATGAAATGGGGCTGGCAGGGTGACGTAACAGGTTAAACTGCTACCTGCATTACTGGAATCCTATAGCACTGGTTTAATTTGGCTGTACAACTTCTGATCCAGTCTCCTGCTAATGTGCTCAGGGAAAGCAGCAGAAGATGCCCCAAGCACTTGGGTCCCTGCATCCATGTGGAAAACAAGGAACAAACTCCTGTCTCCTGGCTTCTGCATGGCCCAGCCCTACCCTTTGAAATCATAGGGGTAATGAACCAGCAGATGGAATATTTCCTCTCTCTCTGTAACTTTGACTTTCAAATAAATAAATACTTTTTTAAAGTTCATGAAAAGATGCAGTTAAAAAGTGTTTATTTTAGTGAAAAATTTTTTGAAAAAGATGTGTAAATTTTTATAATTAACATTTTCCTATGAAATTTTTAAAAATTCCTTGTGTATATGCATTTTTATTTTGTTGCATCAAGGTAAATATCTTTTAATTTTCAGGTACTTCCTGAAGTACCTGCATGTAAGAAAATTCCAAGCACCATAATAAGATTATACACATAACCAAGTGTTATTTTTCCCTGGCATGTAATAGTGCTTCAACATAACAATTATCAACCAGAACAATACATTACAGAAGTGAAATGAAGAAAGAAAAAAAAGCCACAAAATCCTCAATTAAGTAGAAACAGCAACTGACAAAATTCTAACTTTTGATGCTACACATTCAAAACACTATAGAACATATGGATACTAAATCTATCAATATACATATAGAGGCCGGCGCTGTGGCTCACTTGGCTAATCATCCGCCTGAAGGGCTGGCATCCTGGTTTCTAGTCCTGGTCGGGGCACCAGATTCTGTCCTGGTTGCCGCTCTTCCAGGCCAGCTCTCTGCTGTGGCCCAGGAGTGCAGTGGGCCCTGCACCCGCATGGGAGACCAGGAGGAAGCACCTGGCTCCTGGCTTCTGATCGGCACAGTGCCAGTGGTCGCGACCATTTTGGGGGCGGTGAACCAATGGAAGGAAGACCTTACTCTCTGTCTCTCTCTCTCACTGTCTAACTCTGCCTGTCAAAAATAAAAAATTTTAAAAAATATATACAATATTTGCTGTTAAATATAAGAGTGGGAATAAGAGAGGGAAGAGATGGGCAATTTGGGACATGCTCAAGCTGACTTACCTCAAACAGTAGAATTAGAAACATACCAGGGGATTCGAATTCAATCCCATCAAGGTGGCATGTACCAATGTCATCTCACTAGTCCCAGTGATCAATTTCAGTTCACAATTGATCATAATGATAGGACTAAGAACCAAAGGGATCACATAAACAATAGTGTCTGCAAATACCAGCTGATAGAATCAAAAAGGGAGAGAATGATCCAACATGGGAAGCAGGATACACAGCAGATCCATAGAATGGCAAATGTCCTAACAGCACTCTGGCCTCATAATCAGCCCTTAAGGCATGCGGATCCAGCTGAAATGCCCATGAGAGTATTTCAGGCATGGAAAGCCAAGACACTCTGGGGGAAAAAAAAACCTAAATGAAAGATCTCCGTGAGTTAGAACCCAGTGGAAAGAATGGGTCATCAAAGAAGGAGGTACCTTTCTCTGAAGGGATGAGAGAACTTCCACTTTGACCATGGCCTTGTCTAAAAATGATCAGAGTCAGTGAACTCAGGGGGCTTCCATAGCCTTGGCAGCTCATGACAAGAGCCTAGGGTGATTACTGATGCCACAAACAAGAGTGTCAGTTTGTTAAGTCAACAACAGGAGTCACTGTGCACTTACTCCTCATGTAGGATCTTTGTCCTTAGTGTGCTGTACATTGAGATTTAATGCTATAACTAGTACTCAAACAGTATTTTCCACTTTATGTTTCTGTATGGGAGCAAACTGTTGAAATCTTTACTTAATGTATGCTAAACTGATCTTCTGCATATAAAGAGAATCGAAAATGAATCTTGATGTGAATGGAAGGGGAGAGGGAGTGGATAAGGGGAGGGTTGCGGGTTGGAGGGACGTTATTGGGGGGGAAGCCGTTGTAATCAATATTCTGTACTTTGGAAGTTTATATTCATTAAATAAAAGTTAAAAAAAATAAAAATATATATACACATAGAAAATACATAGTTAATGTCATAATTCAATGATGAAACTGAAAAGATTTTCTCTAATGTTAGGCAGAAGAAAGGACTCCTCTCTTCACAGGACTGTAAGCTGGTGTTTTAAGGAAAAAAACACTCATATGATATATAGGCAATTGACCTAGCGATGAAGAAGCTGCTTGGGACACTCATATTCCACACCGGAGTGCCCTGGTCCATATCCTGGCTCCAATCCTGACTCTAGCTTCCCGTTAATGTTCAAGTGGTTGAGATCTTTACAATGGATACTCAGACTGAGTTCCCGCCTCCTAACTTTGGGCTGCTTGTATCCTGGCTGTTGTAGACACATGAGGAATGAACCTGTGGATGGGTGATCTCTTTTATATTTCAAACAGAATATGTAAAATAAATGAATAAATAAACTAAAATTAAAAACATACAATGTAAAAACAAGGTACAGCCAATGCTTGTTATTTATGGTAGTTATAGTCTCCAAAATCACACTCAGCAACTGAAAAATCAGTTATTATGTGTGTCTCAGAGAAGTACAGATTAAGTTTCAGAAAGCATATTCACCAATTAATTAGTGAGTCTTATTACTGATTGTGAGTTCAATGTTGCTAAGTCAAAAATATGCATTAAGTACTGTGTTTTCAAATAGAACAGATAACAAGATTACATACTGACTCATCGTCATTATGTTGAAGTCTGTCACCAATGTAACTACAAAAACATTTGTTAATATTTAATTCGGAAAATAACAAACCAACACACTTTTGGTGATCGAAGATCTGAAGAACAAGCAAATAGTTCATCTTCAGGCAACTGAGCACTTGTGGAAACTGATTCACAAGGACGTGTCGCATTGTAGATATGGAATTTGCAATGAGGATTTAAGGCCATAGCTAGAAGTTCCAGAAGTGGAAAAGAGTCTTGGGACAACTTGGCCACACAAAGCTCCACAAGGCGATGAGTACTGTTAATAATACACCTCTGTATAATAAGGAAATGAAGAAGAAAGATTCTTTATAATGGAAAAATTGCAACTTTGAACACAGACCCATTCCATGCTTATTAATTATGAGACTTATAATCTGGTCACCTGCTTAACTTTAATACTGTGATCAAATGATTTATCAGTAGTGATAAATTAGTATTATTTCATTATTTTGCACCCATTTCAAAATCTATTTGAGATGGGTTACAAATAATATAGGTACCACAGATTGTTTTACTAACTTTCTTCTCTAACTGGAATCTGTATTCTAGAGACAGTAATGCTAAATTTCTAAACACTTAAAATTTTTGTCAGTTACCCAAGATAAAACAGATCTGCATTCTATGGCAAACTCAAATGTCTCAGATCACTGAAATATCATCTAAATCCATATCTAAAAAATTAAATTTCAAAAGAGAACCTCCTGTCATTAATATGCCAAGATCACCTGTTGAAATAAAGTGATCCCTACTCCAAGTTATACTTTATAGGTTGAAGTCCACAAAGTACATATTTGCTTCATCATTTTCCATTAATTACTTTTATAACCAAGGAACAAGGAGCCTGGGGTAATGCCATTAACTCAGTAAAACACATATGTTTTTCACTTTTTAAAACTCTCTTGAATATAAAGTATTTTAAAAATACTCATGTATGAAGGCAGCAGGGAATCAAAAGTGCTTTGCATTATCTTTGTACTAGTCTGAAAGTACTACCTGAGAGTACCTGCATTACCTTTTAAACCTAGTCATCTGAGAAACCACTACTCTGAACACACTTTAAATTGACTTTTTTGTATTAAAATTGAAATTTGAATATATATCACAACTTGTATAAGTACTGATCTAAAATCTTAGGTAGCATTACTTTTCCCATTTACCAGTTACTAAGATTACTATTTCCAAATTTGCTTGACATTTCTGCATTGTGAATTTATCATTTTCATGTGTTCAGAAATTAAAGGCTACCTTAGGAGTCTACTTTTAAATTCTCCCATTGTGAGTACTTTTCTTTGAAAACGGAGTGGTCCTTTCAACAATCAATACTAATTAATATAACACATGATAAAATACATTATATATTCTGTGTAAGGTTACCTTGGAATATCAAGTGACAGATAAAGGTTTCCTAACTGAAAATTTCAAGCTCATTCTAAAAGAACAATCTTCTTTTAATTCTGTCATATATCATTAGATATGATATATGATTAACATTATTATTTTCTAAAGATGAAGTCATAGGGACTGTCATGTAAATCTGAATCCCCAAAATCATATATATGACTCACATGAATTTCAAACTTCCATTCACTCACGGCCTCATCCGTAAGGATTTTAGTGAAAGATACGGTTAACTCATCTCGAAAAAAACGTTGACATGCTTCACTTTTAATATCAAGGCCTAAGCAAATGTTAAAAAGAAATCAAGTGAAAGCTAAAATACTTCTCTGACCAATTATGATTCATAAAAACCTGATATGAACTTACAGTTTTCAACTCACAAATGTTATTCTAACTTTTTGAAATCAGTAAAATTATTGTGAGAGATTAAAAAGTTGAGACGCACAAGATTCAGAAAAGGAAATGAAACCTTAAATTCAATTTTGGAAATAGTCAACTGTATAAAACCATATCAAATCAAGTATTATTACTACTACTAACCAAATATCCTTTAGAATACGATATCGAACTTAAAAAATAGTTGCTAGACAGGTATCAGTTCTACAGCATTTTAATCACTGAAATATACTGAAAACTTAAAAAAGAAAGCCAAATATAAAATTTCATTGTGGTGATAAATTATCCTTTATCGTTCAATTTAAAGAGGTATGCTAACATTTTTATTTCTTTTTAAGAAAAAGCAAGACTCACATGCTCTCATTAAAAATGAAATCCTGTAATTCTTAATGTGAAAACTTTGAAAATATTATTTATATCATGATTATGTTGATTTGATTATATACTGGTATACTATTTAAATACAGAACTTCTGAGAAGAAATCTGAGACTCTACCTCAAGTGATTATAGAAAAGCTGACCCAAAATCCATACAACAATATTATCTACTGAATGCCCAAATTATCTTTGTACTAGTCTGAAATTATTACCTGAGAGTACCTGTATTACCTGTTAAACCTAATCATCTGCGAAACCACTATTCAGAACACACTTTTTTTTTTTTTTTTTTTTTTTGACAGGCAGAGTGGACAGTGAGAGAGAGAGACAGAGAGAAAGGTTTTCCCTCGCCGTTGGTTCACCCTCCGATGGCCGCCGCGGCCGGCGTGCTGCGGCTGGCGCACCACGCTGATCCGATGGCAGGAGCCAGGTGTTTCTCCTGGTCTCCCATGGGGTGCAGGGCCCAAGCACTTGGGCCATCCTCCACTGCACTCCTGGGCCACAGCAGAGAGCTGGTCTGGAAGAGGGGCAACCGGGACAGAATCAGGCCCCCCAACCGGGACTAGAACCTGGTGTGCTGGCGCCGCAAGGCGAAGGATTAGCCTAGTGAGCTGTGGTGCCGGCCTCAGAACGCACTTTAAATTGACTTTTTTGTATTAAAATTGAAATTTGAATATATATCACAACTTGTCTAAGTACTGATCTAAAGTCTTATGTAACATTACTTTTTCCATCTACCAATTACTAAGATTACTATTTCCAAGTTTGCTTGCTTGACATTTCTGCATTGTGAAGACTATTCACTGATTATGCCCACTTTGTATTATGAGGAAGTACAATATGCTTATACAAACATTTGGTATTTATTGAGTTACTGAATAAATTAAAACATGTATAAATTGACAAATGGAATTTGAGGGGCAATAAACATTTCCAATCTAGCAAAAATGTTTTTGACCTTTTAAAAAAGATTTATTTATTTATTTGAGGGGTAGACAGAGAGGGAGAGATAGAGAGAAGGTTCTTCCATCCACTGGTTCAATCCCCAAACCAAATGGCTGTAACGGTCAGACCTGGACCGACCCAAAGCCAGGAGCTTCTTCTAGGTCTCCCAAGACGGTGCATGGGCCCAACCACTTGGGCCATCTTCCACTGTTTCCCCAGGCCATACCAGAAAGCTGGCTCAGAAGTGGAGCAGTTGGGACACGAACCAGGGCTCATGTGGGATGCTGGTGCTGTAGGCAGAGGCTTAGCCTAGTATGCCACAGCACTGGCTCCCTGGCTGGGTTCTTTTAGTGAAATCCATAATAAAACAATAAATTCTAAATGACTGTAAGACAATGAAATTACAATACTTGTCAAAGAACTAGATAAAGCAACATGTAGTTTTAACAAGATAACAAAGATATTCACAGGTAATGTACCTGTGATGACCAAATTTAAAGTCTCTATTGAATGGTGTAGAAAAGAAAATCTATTATACTTTGTTCTTTCAAGGACTTAAAAAAATAGAAAACAGAACAACAATAGCTTATCTTAAAAGTAATTCTGGCCCCATTCTGGGGCCAATGCTCTGATGTAGCAGGTAAAGCCACTGCCTGCAGTACCAGCATCCTACATGAGCACTGGTTCAAGTACTGGCTGCTCCGTTTCCAATCTAGGACTCCGCTATGGCCTGAGAAGGAAGATTGCCCAACTCCTTGGGCCCCTATATCCACTTTGAAGACCCAAAAGCAGCCTGTGGTTCCTGGTTTCCAATTGGCCCAACTCCAGCCATTGTAGCCATCTGGAGAGTAAACCAGCAGATGGAAGATCTCTCTCTCTCTGTCTCTCAAATAAATAAAAAAGAAAGAAAGAAAGAAAAAAGATCCATTTTAATGTAAATTTTTACTTTTGAATGACTGTAGAAATATCAGATTTGTTATAGTGATCACTTTTTCAAAGAACGTTAAGCATTAATCCACATTGCGGCCAACTAGGGAGTGAACCAGCAGAAGGAAGACCTCTCTCTTCATTTATTCCTCACTGTCTGTAACTGCCTCTCAAACAAATAAATCTTAAAGACTTCATCAATCAAATATTTCCAACACAAAGATAATAAAAAGTTTCTCTATAGTGAAAATGAAGCCCTACCTGAAACCTAGCTAGATTAAACATGTACAGCAATTTTAGTGTAATAGTAATTACCACTGACAAAAATCATATTCTGTAACTAGCAAATTGTCTTTGAACAGCAGTATATAGTAAATAAATCAAATGACAAGTTTAACTTCAGTTAACTATTTGCAAATGAACATACTTTTCAAATGGTCAAATTGAAAAAAAAATCATCAAATATATGGGAAGTCAGTTATCCACTATGTGACTTTTTTTAACCTGATAACAGTCCTTAATACCTTACCACTTCACCTAATAAATTTTAAAAATACACTGTAATATATGATTAACAAGACTTTTAAAAATCTGATGACAATATTTTCTGTTAGAAATATGAATAGGAGGGGTCATCAAGAATTTCATGGAAATATCATGTGATATGAAGAAAAACCTATGCATGCATTTGAAACAATTTTTGCAACAAAATAAACATCCTTTAACTCACTTTCCATGAACTTACTGAAGTCTTCCCATGCAATATTTATATATCCTTAAAGGCTGACTGAAGATTCCTATAAACCTTAACTGAGTACTTGTGTGTTTACATGTGTGCATGTGTGTGTGAACACATACAAGAAGCCTTACCATAAGGTTCAGTGGCATACTGCAGATGAGAAAAAAGCAATTTTAAAGCAAAGCCTCTAAGAACAGCAAACATTTATAGCAGTACATATTATGACACATACATCAAAACTTACCTTTTTTACTAAGATCAATGGCAGCTTCCAAAAGCACTTCTAATTCTCCTTTTGGTAAAACAGGAACCACCCATCGAGGCCTAAGAATTATTATAAAATAAAAAAAATGCCTATTGGTTGAACACTATATAAAGTATTATCATTTTTATTATAGAAAAGTAAATAAACATGACTTTATTATATTCATCAAAAATATTTTAAGTTGGTAAAACATCTGTCATCTTAAGAAACATCTGTGATATCTGTAACACAGAATTTTTATGACACTTTGAAATGAAATAAAGTAATGGCAGAGAATTCACTGAAAAGTTTCAAGGCCTGAGTTTGTTAGCAGGAAAATAAACTTTTAGGTTCAGATCAGTAAGAAACAAAAGTAAAAGATATGAGGAGATAAATTCCTGAATTCTTCTCCAACTCATCTTATAATACATGATATTTATCAACTTTCCCAAAAGATTATGTCAGGCTTAGTCTTCAAGTTAAATGTTAAAAACATTCCAATATCAAAGAGTAATGAAGAGTACAGAAATACAATAGAATATTTCACAGTCATAAAAGAGACTGAAATACTGACACTGGCAACGTATGGACAGAACTACAAGCAATTATGTCAAATAAAATAAACATGGAAAGCAAATACTGCATGTCCTCTCTCAAATGTGGAAGGTATTTATTTATTTGAAAAACAGAGTTACAGAGAGGGAATCTTCCTTTTGCTGGCTCTCTCCCAAAATGGCCACAATGGCCAGGGCTGGGCCAGGCTGAAGCCAGGAGTCAGGAGCTTCTTCTGGGGTTCCCATAAGGTTCAAGGGCTCAAGGACTTGGGTCACTTTCTGCCGCTTTGTCAGGAACATTAGCAGAGTTCTGGATTGGAAGTGCGACAGCCAGGATTCAAACTGGTGTCCAGGTCTCCCAAATGAGAGGCAGTGACCCAAACAGTTGGTCCATCTTCTGTTGCTTTTCTTAGGCTATTAACAGAGAGCTGTATCTGACTTGAACCAGGGCTTGGTGAACAGGATGCCTGTTGCTGGCCATAGTTTTAACCCACAGTGCTACAGCATCGGTACCAAATTCCGAAGTTTTCAAAAAAGTCATTCTGGGGGCTGGTGCTGTTGTGTAGTGGGTAAAGGCAATGTTACAAAGCATGGTGAGGTGACTTCAGTCCACAGTAAAATTTTAAACATAAAATAATTTAGGAGTAATACAAAAGCAATGGAGTCAACCTTTATAAGATCAGAACAATATTTCTATATTAAACACTGATGAAGAGGGGACAATTGGTAAAGCTGCCACCTGTGATGCTGGTATCCTACATGGGTACCAATTCATGTCCTGGTTTCTCCATTTCTAATCCAACACCTTGCTAATGGCCTAGGAAAAGCATTCAATATCCATTCTTTTTGATGCTTTTGTTTAATCAAAAAGGATTTATTAGTAGTACAATTCAGTCCTCAAGCATCTATCACAGTATACTATGAAAAAAAATCAATAGCAACAGGAGAAAAATAGAAAAATAAAAATACATGAGAAAGAACTGTGGTGCAGCAGGTTAAAGCCCTGGTCCTGAAGGAACGGCATGCCATATGGGTGCCAGTTCTAGTCCTGGCTGCTCCTCTTCCAATTCAGCTCTCTGCTACATCCTAGGAAAGTGGCAGAAGATGGCCCAAGGTTTGGCCCTTGTACCCACACGAGTGACCCAGAGGAACCTCCCGGAACCTGGCTTTAGAGTGGCACAGCTCTGGCCATTGTGGCCATCTGGGGAGTGAACCAGCAGATGGAATACCGCTCTCTCTATCTCTACCTCTCCCTATAACTCTTTCAAATAAATAAAATAAATCTTCTAAAAAGAAAGAAAAGGAAAAATAACAATATTTTCCATGTGCTTCTTGCTATACTGAATGAATACAACATAATAGAAAAGCCCTAAAAAATTTCCTATGATAATACTACCAGAAATAAGTTCAGAAACACAAAAAAACTAGGTCACAGAAAATACAAAACAACCAAACAGCAGCTTAACTCTGAAAAGTCATTTGTACTGTCACTAACTTTCAATTTTTCAAATCCTTAACAATGACTAAATAACAGAGAATGAGTCACAATGTTAAGATATTTAAAAATGAACATAGGTGCCGGTGTTGAGATTTGGCATTACCACGCCAATCAGCACTGGTTCAAGTCAAATACAGCTCTCTGTTAATAGCCTAAGAAAAGCAACAGAAGATGGCCCAACTCTTTAGGTCCCTGCCACTCATTTGGGAGACCTGGATAAAGCTCCTGGCGTCAGCCCAGCTCAGCCATGGCTTGTTGCAGCCATCTGAGGAGTGAAGCAGTAGAAAGAAGATATTTCTCTCCATCTCCTCTCTCTGTGTAATGGATGCTCAAATAAGTATATTAAAAAAAATGTAGACAGTGGGACGTTTTTCCTGAAATGGCAATCTACTCTTTTTTTTCCAGCTCATTGTATTCATTAGCAAATTAAAAACCATACCTGTTGATCATGTCATCCAACTTTGCCAGGTCAGTATGTGGAAATGCAGGTTTCTCATCTTCATGTTGCGGTGGGGCATCACCCTGACCCTGTTCATCTGAGGGCACCGCTGGGGAATTCTCATTGGAGGAATCAGGTGATGAAGTCTCAAATAAAAGTTAAATATTCCAGCCTTAAATTTGTACAACATGTATACTATATTTAGCAATTCAGATGGCAGTACAGATTAAGTAAAACATAAATTTTCAATTGCCCATACAATAAAATGGAATTTTATTAGATAAAATTGATAGAATTCTTATCATTTTGATTCTCAGGGAAGTCATCTTCAGAATATTTTTGCAAACATTAAATAATTTTAAAATGTTTTCAATGGTTCCAAAGTACTGCACTGATTTTTAAAAGTAAAAGTAGAGGATACCTGTTTTCATAACATTTACTGCTAACATAAATACAATTATAATTAAGCTTTATAATTACAAATGTTTAAGATAAACTATCTCAATACAAGTTTCTAAAAATACAACACCACGTCAACAGGATAAGTAATTTCTTTTAAAGGCTACCACTAAATATAATAGTATAGTATAGTCTAAAAAATTAGCAACATAGACCCACTTCACATGCATCTAATGGAATTTATTCCAGTGTCTTTCCCAACCTGGCTTTATTTATCAAAGGATTTTACTGTAGCTTGTAAGTATGTACTATGAGGACTTTATTTCTTCACTTAATGTAGACTTCAAATTCTAAAAGCATTGCATCTTACTTTAAAAAAAAAGAGATTTATTTATTTATTTATGTGAAAGGTAGCTACAGAGAAACAGATTTTCCAACTGCTGGTTCACTCGCCAAATAGCCACAAAAGCTGAAGCTGAGAAGATCTAAAGCTAGGAGCCCAGAGCTTATGCCAGGTCTCCCACATGGGTCCCAGGCACTTAGGCCATCTTCTACTGCTTTCCCAGGCACACTATCAGGATGCTGGGGCAGAAGTAGAGCAGCCAGGACTCTAACTGGCACTCAAGAGGATGCTGGCACTGTAGGTGGTGGCTTTACCCACTTAGCAACAATGCCAGCTCACAAAAACTGCACCTCTTAATAATACCTAAGAGTTTGATTTGGTACATTCTGAACCTGCCAGAGAAAACTAGGTCTTGTATTTCACCAGGAAATCAAATATTTTATTTCCCTACAGGATATACACTTTGAATGTTCAAATGTTACTGGTCGAAAAGATCAAAACCTAAATCATAGCTTCCAAAAGGCAAGAAGCAAACAGCACTGAAGGGTAACAAAAATTATTTAGAAAAGATTATGAAATAAAGAAATACGGACAAATACAAACAAATCACAACTGTACTGGTTTATTACAGCAGAGGCT